CTCGTAATTTTTCTGATATTTTTCTGTTCGACGCGATTAAACGTATTTTTCGACTTTTGGCGGGACGGCACAACGTCCTGTCGGCCGAACGCCGTCGACACGACGCGCGTGTACGACGCGGTGCCCGCCCGATACGTGTTGTTACGGACCGCCCGTGCGGTCGGTCCGTAACAGTCGCCGCGCGCACCGTCCCGACGGCGCGATCCGAAAAGGCCCGTCGGCCGCGCGCACGCGTGCGCGACCCGGTGTCGGCGCATTTCCGACGGTCCGCGGACGGCCGTTAGCACGCGCGTGCAGGCGCGGAGACGTAACAATACGACGTCGCGCCGGCCGGGCAATTATGACGCACAATAACGATGGCACAGGCGTGCGCGACCGTAAACCGTATCACGGCCGCGTCGCCGTCGCCGTCGTCGTTGTCGCGAAAACCGTTTAGCGGGCGGCGAAATATCGATTACGGTCGGTAAATCACGGTTAATACCGGGGGCCCCCCGCGCCCGACGCCGCGTGATGTGATTGTGCCGCGTTCGGGTCGCCCCGGATGCGCGCCGACAAGGCGCACCCGTGCGCGCGACGGCGCGGCGCTGTAACGTACCGGCGACGGCGACGGCGACAACGGCGGTTCGTTATTATTTGCGACGATATCGCGGGGACGACGGCGCCGTACCGCGCGCGTCACGGTTCGTTCGTTCACGGCGGGCGCGGATTGATAACGAAACGGACGCGTTCCGCGGCCGTTTTGCCGTCCGACGCCGCGGCGACGTCGAATCCCGCGTGCGACACCTTCACTCCTACCCCCCCCCCCCCCCNCCCCCCTCCTACAACACCACCACCACTCACCCCGCCGACGCGCGACGGCCGAATCGAATCGCCGCCGGTTTCGGGTTTCGGGTTTACACGATTGTTATTCGGCTCGCGACGACGCGTGTGACTGCACACACTTCAATGGCCGCACTTTTATTTCGCCTTTTTCAACGTATCCGATATTACCCGAAATGTTTTTTGGTTTTTTTTATTTTCTTCGGGATTTCCGATCAACCGGTCAAACACAGCCGCTCGGTGAATACTATACGTACGTATAGTCGCTAGCCGCAACTCGCAACAGAAGGCGCGTTTTTCAATTTTCAGTTTTCGATGTTTTTTAGCGCATTTAAATCCGGGCCACACAAATAACAACATACGGACGCGCGTTAATTTCGAAATATTTCGCGTGTTCCTAAGGTCCGCCTACCAATCGAACAAAGTGCTCAGTGCATTGATAGGAATGTTTAGGAACACTAAAATACCAATCATCCGATAGTAAGAGTGAATAATCCGAAAAAATTATACGTTAAATATTGAAATTTATGGTTAAAAACCACGCGATAGTATTTTCCAACAATACAATTCCCGTCATTTGAGCGCGGATTCGTATTCTCGGCGAAACAGCGAAACTGCCATAACAGAAGTTCTCTTAGAAATGTGCTTTGAATAATTTCATATAGAACCGAATTCACCATAGCACACCTACTCCTGTACAGTCAGTGTCGCGCCTAGCGAAAATCGGCAGCCGATGCCAGAACAACGTAACGATAAGCAAAACAAGAAAAATAAAAAACCATCACAATCTCTGAATATGCTGAAACCTGTCCGTCGACGTTCGCCCGTGCGTTTGTCGTAAATATATTCAAACGCAGGACTTTTAAAACCTCTATTGGAGCCCCTCTACCCTGATCTGTGTTCGGCTTTGCTCGCAGTAATGTGTACGCCAACATCCGGCGTACTTACCAACAAAAATGAATAAGTGATATTATTTTATAGGGCGTGGGCCCGTGTACCACACCCTACCAAAGCCAAGGAGCAATCGCTTCTGACAAACACGGTTCGACATTGGTTATAATCCGAACGCAAGATGTATTTTTCTCGGACACCGGAATACGAGTACGATGCACGTAAATGCAAAAGAAAAAAAAAAAACCGCATTTATGTTTTTCGTCAGAATCTCTACAGTGTACGATTACCCGTACGAATCGCGTACATATTATTATCGTATGGTTGTGCGTAAATCCAATAAAATCGTGTTTTTATGCGAAAAATCAGCGCTCTATTACAGAATGCCTAATAAATAAAAATAATATTTTTACCTACCCATTATATTGACGTGTAACAAAAAAAAAAAAAAACTAATGTTTACTTAATAATAATAAAATAAAGTAGTCTTTGTTTTTTTCCCCCATATTTACGCTGTATAATATGAATAGGTAATGAATATGTATATTTAATGATTTTTCTTTTTTTTATTACATGAATTAGGAACCTATAATATTACTGTCGATGTTTTACGTTATTTATTGACCCGGTGATTAAATAATTTTTTTTCTCTCTGTGAACGGACGAACGAAAATCAATATTCTACAAATACAATAGCGATATTTTGTATAGGTGCACGTGTCACGAATGTATAATTTATTTTATCGGAATCAATGAAATTCAGGATGTGCGAGTGTGTGTGTGTGGGGGGGGCGGGGGTAAATCACAATATTTGGTTCGGGAAGACTATAATAGAGATCACGATTCGGTACGGATTTTTTTTTTTTTTTTTATTGTAGTTATAATAAATGTATTGATATTTACATAAACAGTTGAATTTGCATACAGCATAGGCCATCACCAATATATTCAGCAATACAACCCGACACAATGTTATTATCTCGTACGCACTCGGATAATATTATCATAATATAATTTACGAGAAACTACGTACGAAGCTCATTTTATTCGTATAAAACCTTTTACTAGGCGTAGTTTGTCTGTCTTATTATTTTCGTGTGAAAACGAATGATAATATTCGTGTACAATACGTATACTAGCTGATCGTGTTGTTGAACCATTCGGTTTTCGTTTCGAGTTACACACCGGACGTCCATAACTATACTATTGTACGGTTTTTTTTTTTCATTGTCCTAACCTTTTTTTAGATTCTGAACCAATGACGGATAAAAGGGGGACGACCGGGTAATCGCCTCCACCCCTCGTGGAGCCCGTTTTTGTTTCTAAATAATTCTTATATTTTATCGTAATTGTTCAACATAAGATATGGTTGCGGTATGACCTTCAGATACGCGTTTGCCGCGTAATAGAATTTTATATTCTTAATAATTAGGAAAATCTGGAAAAAGCTGTAGAAAAATAAGATTTAAAACGATTTAATTATTTTCGGTTTCGTTTTTATTCTTGTAATTCAATTCAGAAATAGGAAATCGTAAAGACCTGAAATTGCATAGAATGCTTATACTAACTTTTTTTGGACGCCGTAAAATTGTAAGACGCGTTGATTATTTTTGAGTTATTTATAAGCATTTAACATTTTTTACGTTTTTTAGTGTTTAATTGGTTTTATGTGGAAAAAATTGTTTGGCCTGGCCAAAATGTTTGAAAATTTAACACGAGGTTGATCATAAGTACATAGCGGTAATCAAATATAGTGTATAATGAACGATTTTTTAATAATATTTTAAGTTTAAATTCAAACGAAAATCGTAAAAATTACCGGATTTTAAAATACGTTTAACTGAACTTCACTCAGAACGGTATTTCGTTAGCAATGATTTATTTTTGCGTGCAGCTATAAACTCTATGTATTTACCTTCACAACTTCTCACTTATAACGGTGGCATTCACATCAACAGTATTAGCTCTTTTTTTCTTGTTTTATTACCTATATATACCTAGTTTCTATCAGTGTTTGTTGGAAACTTTTGATTCTCAAAGGGCAACCTATAATTTGATTATTATAGAGTTTTCGATACGCAAAGAGACTATATTTATGAAAATGTTAATACACGGCGGTGGCGTCGAACTAATATCGGACAAACAGCTCATAAATTACAATAATTTAAAGTTTAAACAGGAGTTTCGAAGGAAAGGGTATAAAATGTCTCGACATTTTCAGACTACCCTACTCTACTATATTATACTGCTTAGATCTAAACTTGTGGTCGCAGTGTCGTAGGTATAAGCGATTTACCAACAATTTCTACCCCGATCCACGAGCGAAACTATATGCATTAATCATTATTGTAAAAACTAAAATAATTATCGTCCAACCACATTGAAAAATTTTTCTCCATTCCATTTACTTCGTAGGAATACTCGTTCGACGCCATTTTTTTCTGATCCGTTTCTGAATAACATGATTTATATTGAGACAATCACTCAATTTTATATCGGATAATAACTATTAACATAATAGAAGGAAAAAATACCATTGGCAATTATTGTTTCATACTATCCAGCGGCGTAATTACTTACTTCAATAACCCGTTGACAAAATATCACTAGTTATCCTTCGTTCCGATGTTTTATATTTTTTTTATTCCAAATATTATTTGTATACCTTAATACCATGTACTAAATTATGTGTGACAGCGGTTGATTTTTTTTTTTTTTTAGCTCAGTACGAGGACATTTTAATCAAAATTATATTATTTGTGATTGTGTGATACTTTATTAAAACGAAAATAAAACGTATATATACTCGAACATGAATATTTGCAGTAAGTATATTATATGGGTACCTAACTATATTATATAATTATCTGGAGACTCATAATAATATCCAGTTTTGTCTACTACTTCATTTGTATTAATTTCATAACTAGACCGCAGATTGCATCAGTGAAAAAATTAAATTGTAATACGTATGCAGCGTAAAAAACTGAAGTATGCATATTGCATAGACTATGTTAAAATATGGACTAAAAATTTGGAATATTTATTTAGAAAATTATTATTATTTATAATATTTTAAATATTTACCGAGAACTATAGTTCTCGTAGCAGTATATTACTAGATGTTGCTTCAAGCGGTCCATTGTAAAACTATGGCGTTTGCATCCAAAATAAGTTTAAATGCAGAAAACGACGGTTAAACAACACAGGGCAGTGTTTAAACTTGGAAGCCTCGTTATTCTATTGGACAGTGCAGTACTTGTGCCATTAATGTAAGCTTCGATCAGTAATCAAGTATTTTCTGTTTTGATTTTTTCAGCAAATACGTCAGGCAGTTCAGATGCTGTTGTCGATGATTCTTTCATTACTTTTAATGAATTGTGTAGTACCAGTGGCGTGTTGGACGTGATTTTGAGGGGCAATTTCCCGATAATTTTAAGTAGTGGGCGGATGGGTACCTGGTGGTTGAGTACTGGAGTCTGTGGAGAAATTGTAGTACAAGATTAACTTCATCAGAATATGTCATATGATATTAAATGAGAATAATAAAATTAATAATAACTATTCTAGGAAAAGCCATTAGCCCAGAATACTGTAAAAAACAACAAGGAATATGGCAATTTAAAGCACTATCATTTTAGTTTATTCGTGGGTAGTAATGATAATGATCAATGCCTAAGAGTCGAGGGGTGGTGGTAGGTCATTAAAAAAAAAAAATGAATCGCCCGATAAAATATTTCACTTCACCGCGCCACTGTGTAGTACCAAGTATCTTGCTTCTAGACTTGTAATTAGTTCTGGTATTTTAGAAAAACGTGCATAAATCAGATTTAAACCATGTTGTATTGACGGGTTTTCGAATACTTTCTTGGCGTCGTGGAATGGTAAAGCGTCAAAACTATTAAATTGGTTGATTATCACTTTTATTTCCACGAAATGTCCACTGTAGTACATTTGATCCAAATACCCCATCGCGTAATGACAGGTTGATGCGTGCCACGATATTTGATCGAAAACCCGATAAGATGTATAATATAAATTACAACGGCTTTAGAAACTCGTCCGGTATGATTACGAATATACAAATACGATTATATGCCATTGACACCACGAATCAATGAAAAATGCATACCTGGTAGAATGAGACGAACTATATGCGATTATATTATGATATCGGATTGCTTATAGTGAGGTTTCGAAAACGCTGGGTGTTTTTAATTTTCTAGATGGATGTTATTTTACTTGGATTTCGGAATTGTTGAATTCATTTTCGTTGATTTCTGGTTACTTTTGTTTGACGGGAAAAAACCTTTAAGAAAAAAAAAAAAAAAACAAATGTTTAAATGGATCGCGATGAAGATTTGGGAAAAAAAATATCGCGGGGAAAAGACAAACCAAGCGGTGAGAACTGAGAACGGGGAACTTATGTAAAAATGCAATATTTTTTCCACTAATCGCCGTCTCGGGAAATGCGACACAATGTTAAACTCTACGTTACATTAACAATAGGACTTAGGAGTAATAACTTAATCATTGCGTCTACGGTAAATTAAATGATAATGATATTACAATACAAATATAGTTATTTATACATAGGAGAGCGAACGGTATAGCACGCGTGTTTATACTGATTACCGCACCGAGCGATGTAACAATGTGTAACCGCGGTCCAAGATCAAACGGCATGGGCTGCAAGGAGAATATTATTACTGCGTATTTTGCTTGTCAAGGGAAATAATTAAATGCGGTGGGGCTCCTTGATGAATGCACCGCAGCAACCGTACAGTGTTATACGCATATTATAATATTGTAAGGGGCGGTATACAGCAATATGCCACAAGTACCTATACTACGGGGATCACAACGTCTACTAGGAACGGGCCGACACTGTGTTTTATCTGTATCCGATATTCCGATAAAAAAACCTACGGTCCTGTAATTGAGACCAAATTTCTCCGATTATTCGTTTATCAGGTATATCTCTTAGTTTAATCGAAAATTACAATTGAATCAACGTTAAAACTAAGGTAAAGATAGGTAAGATTATTCACGTCATACTTACTTTTTTAAAGTTTTTGTAAATAAACCTCGAAAAACAAACATTATTTTTTTACAAAAAAAAAAAAAATGCTTAGAATTTAACATTAAAAAAAAAAAAATTATTTTCCCGAAATATTTTTGTTTTTAATGATTAATCCATTAGCAATACAAAAACTTACTTATCATACCTACTCAATTTTAAATTTTTACTGTTGTGGATATGATCTCTAAACCTACCAGCTGGATATCACCGATATCGAGTATATGTTTGTGTATCGGCTCTCCATTGTTGATAATAATTATGTCTTCCATTTTAAAGCGAAATAAACTACTAAAAAAAGGGCATTTACATTTCGATAACGACATAAGAGAAAATAATAGTGTATAACTAAAAAAAAAAAAACAAGAGCTCGGTAACTAGAGTCGAATTTTCTTCCGACTTGTTGCCGTTACAGCACTTTATTTTATTTTTATAATTTATCTAAATTAGTTATGGTTGCCAAAGGTTTATTACATTTTTAGTGTGTCGAGGTATTTTAAACCCGGTATTTCCTGTGTGTACATTTCGTTTGAACATAAAAATGTTTGCAGAGGAGGTTGAAAGCTGAACCGACGAAGACACAGTCTTGATATACTTACACCGTGCATACACACATGACTTCATTTGAGTAGTCTTTAAGGCTGCACAAAGCTAAAAACCACCCTTGTCCCGCAATAGCATAGTGAAATTCGAATCGCAATTCAACCGAAATGCTATCACTTCAATCCACGTATAAAATAACATTAATTTTCGAGTTTATTTGATCTTGCGGAAGCCACTGAAAATGTCCAAAATTAATGGGCAAGAAGTATATGTATATATCATAGCAGCCACAATACAGTGCAGTAAAACGACGATAACGTTTTAGGCTTGGTTATTTATGATGTAAATTACGAATTTACCATATTAATATTGCGTGTGTAAATTGTGAAATGCGTCAAACTATTACGCTATTTTATATTTAATTAGCGGCGAACAACCTTGTGTCGGAGGAGGGATGAGAACTAAGTGCGGTAAAAAAAAAAAAAAAATTATATTACAATTATAGTATAATTTATAATTATAAACAACCGAGACCTAATTATGATAATATATTTACAGTGCGAATATTACACATTTTTGTAGTAATATTTGCAATATCAAGAAGTGAACGATAATTGAATAAAAATTAATACTGATGATGGATTTATCAATATTTAGTTGACATTATATACACGTAAATATATGATAAACTATTAGGGATAAAGATACCGCAGGATCCAAATTCGTGGAAGCGTAATAAGTTCGTTCGCTGTAGAAACCGTGTTAACAAATTTAATGCACAAACGCGACAACCGCGTTACCAATGGGAACCGGATGGAAAATTACATTTTTCATAGATTAAGGACAAAAGTCATGTGTGAGTGCTCCTTAGGAATTGAATTTTGGAAAAGTACGAACACGGTCACTGGGAAATTATGAATCAAATGGTGTGCAAATAAAGTCTAATAATTATACGACTGAGCCTGTAATATAGACCTACACAGAGAGACACGGACACATTGAGAATCGCGTATAAGACATTAAATAATAACGTTAAAAATGTATTTCAATGTTGCAAGCAGGATCTGATGGGCCATCAGGCTGAAAAGGCTGTAAGCCTAGGCTGACGCCGTTAAATGGCGTCATAGAATAATTTTTTTTTCAAATTGATTTCTTTCAAACTTGTATCTCTATGTATCAGTGATCATAGAAGTAGCCAGATATATATATATTTTTATTTTTTTTGGGGGGGAGGGAAATTTGACAATGACAAAAAAAAAATCAACCAGAGTCTACTGGTGGCAAATCCATTAATAATCACGTTCTGATTGCAAGCACAGTTATTTCCAAATCTACTTTACGTCGAATTTATAATAGGTTTTTTGTATTACATCGCCGATTCCACGACAATATTACTTTGTTGCCGATGGCTCAAAGGACCCGATTCAAATCCGAACGAAGTGGATCATCGAGTAGTTGTAGTTTGTAGGTATTCGGTGATAGAATTTGAAAATGTTGTCATTATATTATTATATTGATTGCGTGTCGCAGTACAACTACAGAATACAAATAACACAATACCCTTTTGAACGTATTGGTTACTTTTGCGTTTGGCGGGGACTTGAATTGTTTTGATGTCGTTCGCGCACTAATTTTACAATAGACGATATTATTTAAACCGCGCATCGATCGGCGCGCGTTTACTGCAACGTTCGCTAGCACGCAGATGCTGTTGCGTACGACAAAGCGATTCGGTTGGCGAACGTTTAATTCGATAATTTTACACCGCCCGTGCGGCGTATAATTTCGTAAACATTACGGAACCCGCGGTTTTCGTTTTGCACGGGGCCGGAATCGTTATTGTACGGTCAGTTTTGTAAATTGAATACACATCATATACGTAATCATATTGCGTAGGCATCGCGGTTTTTTTTAAACATTTATCGTCGGATTATAACCGAAGGATATTTGTTTTTTTTTTTCTCTCTCTCGGCATTTAACTGCTCGTGCGTATAGTGGCCCGAGTGTTAAACCGTTCGGTTACGGGATATTAATTCGACTTGTTTTACACGAAGCGAAAAAGTAACCGCATTGTTAAAACGGACGAGGCGCATACGGCAATAGGCGGTGGCGCAACCGAGGTTTATTTTCCGAGGTAGGGGAGGGGGTATGGATTTGACAAAAAAATTCAATTTCGAATGGCGGCCGGTCGGGTGCGGAGCGGATAGGGTCAAGTGAGGTTTATGAGTGAAATCATTGAAATGCCGACGTTTCATTTATACGGAGAACGCGTAATGGAGACCAATTTAGACTCGTATTTATTATTATGTGTTTAAATACACTTCACTCGTAAGTCATAGTGTAATAACGATAACGATTTACGAAATTCAAAATCGATAATTGAATCGGAACGTTTAACTGGTTTAACATGATAATTTACGGTACGCGGTCGTCGCGACACCGCCGCTACCGACAGTGAAACCGCGCCGATAGCGTGTAACGTAAAACCAAACGCTAAACACGCGGCTGTTGTAGCCCGACTTGCAACCGTAGCCGAAACCACCAGGCGCATCGCTAGCCGTCATCGCTTATTCGCACGCGGTACGTTGTGTTTGAAACCGGTACACGGACCGCGCGGCTACGCGGACACGCGCGCTACGCGCTGCATCCGAACCCGTAAAAAACCGTAAACGAATTTCGCGGCCAGGGGGGGGGGTGTCGACGGCGTACACCGCCGCGACCGAACGTGCGTTATTGTTTTCCGCGCGGACGGTAACGCCGCGTTTGTGCGCGCGTGCGCCGCCTACGCTCCGCGACATCACACCCGTGTATTGTCATACTAAATGACCGGGAAACTTCCGCGGATAACGCGGCGGCGTTGTTGTTTGTTCGAACCACTTTGAATGTTTAAAACGTTTTTCCGAAATTGCCCGTGCACACGGCACGGGGCGACGGGGTAACGGTTTTCGGGCGTATTATACGGTTTTGTGTGCGGGAAACGTATTAGAGCCAATTAATTCTCGGGCCGCGGCGGCGGCGGCGGCGGCCGGGGCGCCCGCGGGCGCGCGAGCGGTTAATTCAATAACCGAAAGCGTTAAATTAATTATGCAGGTGCGTTCGTTTAAAGTCGCCGGAGCGACGGTATACGAAATACGTTTTAGCGGCGGCGGCGGTGCGGTTTCCGCGACGCTGCTGACGCTGCCGCTGACGCTGCTGCCGCTGCCGCTGCCGCCGCCGCCGCCGCTGCAGTCGCGTACAATAATCGATCCGTCGAAAAGCGGCGTGTTATTTTATTATTTTTTTTGTCAAGCGCCGGCGAATCCGTTAACCGCGCCGCGCGGCGTATTCAAACACGGCGGCGTATACGCGTTTTGTGCGTATAGAATATTGTACAGTACTCGGTGTACTTACGTTTTACGGCTCGAGTTTGTCCGTCGAAAATGTTTTTTCAAGTTTTAAAAATGCGTTGCCGCTCGCGCACGGTTGTTACTACGGACTTTTATCCGGGGCCTAAAGCGCGGGCGTCTGGAACCCCTCCTCCCCCGGCTATTTCGTATTCGTCCGACTGTGCTAATAACAATAACAATAATAATGATAATAAAAAAAAGTCGCCTCTTCTATTTCTTTTTCATTAGCCATCATATTGGTTTGGTTTTCCCTCCCGGGACTGCGCCAGGGCGAAACGAATGTCCTCGCGAATTTCCTTGAAATCGGTTCACGGCCGTAATATCATAACGACTTAAAACAGACGACAGATTCACTCGGTACGATCTCGTTAAAACATTCGTTAACCGACTTGCAAACGCGATATTTTCGACGGTGCTTGATTTAACGAAAACCGAAATATTTACGTTCGTTTGTAATAGTACTGTACGAACATATCAAAAAAAAAATCAGGCCCAAGATAATAGGGACGGATGCAGCCACTGTAGTAGGCGGGAAGTTGGAAAGGTAGGGTATTTTAGACGGGAATTAAATGTATATCTGTACGCGACGGTAAACCATTGCTCACGAAAATACGATTCTGAGCGGAGTTCGGTTGATCGTGTTGGTTTGTCAACATTATATATCATTGGCATATGTATATTATGGTAAAATAATTACATAATATGCATTAAACATTTTCTTTAATAATATTTGTTTAATATTGTATCATTTTCCCGGTTTTTCCTCAGTTTTTCGTAGTTTTACTCATTAAAAAAAAAAAAAAAAAATCAAAAAAAACGACCTACCTAAAGTACCTCCTCAATCAGATTTGCTTTTAGAAAAAGTTCCATCATTATAAATCGGAGTAAAATTGTACGTAAAAAAAAAAAAAATAAAAAATAACATCATTGTAAAACTAATAAATTCTTCGCTTCGCTAAGAAGCTAAAACAAAAAATAAAAAATGCTAATAAAAATAATTCAATCAAATGAACCTACCTCATTTCGGTTTTTTAATGTAGAATAAAACTATCTAACAAGCTGCCATCGATCCCTTTTGGCATTTTAAAACCTTCAACAAATCGTCGTATTATTATAACTCGATAGAGTGAGTCCTTTACATCATTACAAGGTTTATTTCTTTGATTACGTATTTCATATTTCAATTTCGGGCGTCTCTTCTCCGTATTGAACCGTAACAATAACGATTTACGGTTGTTATTATTAATATCGGTTTTCTTGTTTTGGTTGTTATATTTTAGAATCATATTTCCATTGTCTATACCGTATTATTGTTACTGTTCAGCTATTCTTTGATGGATTTTTTGTACTGTTATTGTTGTTAAGATACCAGACATCAATTTGTTAAAATTACTATTTTATAAAATCTGGTATTTTTTTATTATTTCAAACAAATTTTATAAACGTTACGTCTAAAAGATATTACGAATTCGTAAATGTTTACGTTGAATTGTATTGAAATTTGTTCGCCCGTTTCAAAATATTAACGATATTTACAGTCGATTCTTATCGCGGTAAACGTTGGATATTTGAAATTTCGTATTTAACATAATGTACTTCATCTTTATATTTTATTGTGTTTATATATTCGAAATTTCTCTGATAATTCCCGTAACAAATCGTAGTTTATGTATCCGCAGGAAATATAATTAAATCAAAAAATAGTATGTATTCACTACTATTCGGTTCGGTTAATGCCGAAGAAAAAATACAGAAACTTGAAAATCCTGTAGAATTTATCGTACACTATTGTATGCAAATGAAATACGTATGTTGTATAAGGAAGGTATAGGTGTGTTATTTTTTTATTTCTTCGGTTTTTTTTTTTTCTAAGAAATAACTAAGCGTATCATCAACTTGTGTATACCATTCAGCTTTTCGGTTCGACCTTGAGGTCTATAATATAAGCGAGTATAGATTGTGTTTTATTTTTTTGTTCGTATTTTTATTCTTTTTTTTTTTCTAAACACAGCACCCGACCCGAACGTACGCTTCTCCGATAGTATAGCGTGGCGGCGGTACCGTATCCATGTATAATTATTGACTCAATACTTTCACGTATCTAATTTCGTACAATGACATATTTTCGACCGCGTTTTTGTTAATACCGATTTCCGATGGGTTTTGGTGTAAAAACGTACGGCGAAAAACTGACGAAACGCTGGAGACTGGTTCCGGCGGTTGAGAGTATAAATCGAAATTTGGCTGTTTACATGCGAGTAAGACCAATACGTTTTTCCGTTTCGGTGTCCCACAATTAGGCACGGTATTATAGTATTTTCGTGTACCTTTGTTGACGTTAGGAACGCCCAGTATAACATGTTTGTACAAATTATCGTTTATTTATATATTTTTTTTTTTTTTTTTAAATTTTTTTTTGAGTAGATAGGTATTGGAGTGGATTGATAATGTTATAATTGTCCGTATACGTTTCTGAATCCATCGCTAAATGAAAGACATCACTAGAGCAACATCGGCGTTTCGTTTTAAATCATAGAAACCCCTCCAGAATAACCAGAATAACGCTCACCTCGTTAAAAAAAAGAAAAAAAAAGGGTGGTCGAGGTGTTCTGACTATAAGTCTATAACAAAACGGACTGATAGCAGAGATAGTGAGGAGATAGAGAGAGAGAGAGAGAGAGAGAGAGAGAGAGAGAGAGAGGTCCGGTTATGTTGGTACTAGACTAGACAACACAAGACAAGGTATATGGCGAGCGTATATATTAATATGTCAATGGGTATGATGAATTCCATTTGTTATCATTTTTTTTTTTTTTTTTATTTATACCAATAACATTTGTATTATACTTTATATTTGATAACATCTGCGGCAGTTTGACCATAAATCCCGCAAACGATGATCCTTTAATCCATTATATTGTCATCGCCGATGCCCATCACAAACAAATTGACGAACATATGGCATGCCGTGAACCTCGGTGTATTACGATCGAGACACGTACATGAATGTACGTTTGCGTGTGTGGTTTCTTTTCTTTTTTTCTTTTTTTTTTAAATAATTTATTACATACCTATTATTTTAAAATTTAACGTCGTCCGTCATCCGCGGAAAACGATTTCGAATTTTCAAGCCAAACGGGTTTCCTGTAAGTATTATTATGCCCGGTTATTGTTGCACCGTTGAACACAGCCGTATAATAATAATATACGTTTGCGATTCGTATTCCAATATTATAATATAAATCCTATCTGTATTGCATCTTATTTTTTCCTCGGCGTATTGCCTTACTCGTACACGCGCGCGCGGGTCCTCGAATCGCCAAACCGTTTGGGTACCGTCGTCGTCGGACGATGAGAGAGAGTGGGGGGGGGGGGGGCGGGGAGGGCGGAGGCCTTGAACGGCCGCTCGGACAATTATTATTATTATCATAATAACGGTTACGACCGTCCGAATATCGGAGTGCGATAAATTGGTTTTGGCGTTTTACAAACCTTCGAATGATTAATGCGCAACGCGTGCAAGATGACACGCGCGAATAAGTATTATACTATTATACGTCACGGATAAAAAATTAATAAACTAATGGCGGTACGGTATCGCAGTATACCGTAGGTAAGCACAATACGATCGTTAGTTCGGGACCAGCTATAGGATCGGCGGATTTTTTGATTTAGAAAAAAAAAAAAAAAACTCGAATTTCCGTTAATAAATAACGACGTATTTGCATGTTGATATTTGTTAGTTATTTATTGTTACCAAGAAAATAGATATATTGACGCGTTGTTTTGTCCAGTAGTTTCACCGATGATCTATTTAGTAAGTCTCCGAGTCGGAGATTACCGACTGTAGTAAATACGAACTAATAAAATAGTAACTACTGTTATACTATACCTACCTAATCCTGGGGTAACGTTGTAACATTATGTTATAAATCGGTTGTGCGCTTCACACCAGTTTTCAACTATTTCACCAATATAATAATATACGTTATATTATTTAATTGTTAAATTTTTATTAGTTTTTATTTTTATTAGCAAAAAAAAAAAAAACACCCCGTAACATCATATCAATAGCGTTACTGCTGGATAACTATTACTCGTTCCAAATTGTCCATGTCGATAAAAATAAACGCTCATACGCTTATTGTGTCCATAATAAATTATAAATTGTACTTGTTCAAATAAACGTAAAAAAAAAAGGAAAAGTTAGTAAAGTATACAACTACAAACAGTATAGATATACTTATTGTAATGCGTCAATGTGTTGCAATAACGATATAATATTTACTATACTAAATTAAACACTGACGTTAGTTATTACTCTTAGCTGAGTTAGTTTTATTCATTACATTTATACGATGTGTACAAGTTGCTTTACATAATATTATGCATTGTGCATGTTGTACAAATATGTACTTGGTTTTTTTTTTTAAGTTATACCTAAACAGAGTAGGCACCTATGTACTGATTTTTTATTGTTACATTAATATATTATTAAATCGAAAGTTGATCATGTACATTATAGATACATATTATTAATTTATCGCTAAACTTTTTTTTCGGTATACACTTTTTGATGAAAGAACCAAAAAAAAAAAAAAAAAACGCATAAAAATGCTTCAAATACAATATTTACCCGAATTGTGTAATATTTTAAACATATATTATGTTATTCGTTTTACAACATTTTAAAACGTTCAAATAGAATGTTTTATATACGTTTACAACATAACAACCATGTCTAGGACGGATAAAACTCGAAAAAATAAAAGTAATAATAATTCTCGCCGAGCCAAGAGTTGACGTATTTACTTTTAAGTTAATAGAATATTGTACTTTATTATGGGTATATCTTAATACAGATACAGTGATGCATTTAATTATT